CTAGGATTAACAAGCTGGTGAAGTTTGAGTTTGTTGCTGTAAAAAGGAGAGGAAAAGAGGTGAAGATGACTAGAGGAAAGATCAAAGAGGGATGGTTGCGGTTATATTTTTCAATTGTCTTTGATTTCATCATTTTTTGGCTTAATAATACCTTTGTATTTGCGGCAAGACAACTGTTGAAGCAAAATGTAGGAATCCCGATGGGAAAGTCATCGAGCCCAGCTTTGGCATGTCTCCTCTGTGCGTACAATGAGTTATTGTTCTTGTCATCACTTGGTATGGATCGAGCGTTGGTATTTGGTTTTCGATTAGTTGATGATGTTTCTTTCTTCGTAACACGAAAAAGAGAGGAGTCGGGAGATCATGTAGGAATAATTTTGCAACTTTTCGAGCATTCGTATGATAGGAATTTGGTATTGGAGAAGACCAGCGATGGTGAATGTTGGGACTACTTGGGATGTGTATTGAAGATCTTGAATGGATCGGTGCAGTTGGCTTGCATGCCCTGCCATAAGAATCAACGCGGACCTATCAATAGTCGTCTGATCTTTCAGAGTATTCAGGATTATTGTTCCTATTCAAGCAAACAACAGAAAACTGCTGTGGTGAGCTCCTTCGTGCATCGGGCAAAACGTTTCACGACGGTGTCAGGTACTGAGTTTCCTTTTCTATTTACTTTGAAGATAGAACTCTGGCGAAGGTCGTACCCTGATGAGATCTTTGATAACGCGTTGTGCAATTTCTCGTGGAAATTCGGGGGGATATGGGACAAATGAATACCGATCCTCACTGATTGGAAAGGGGTTTGGATGAGACGGGGTCATGTCGGTCCACAGAGGCTTCTCGATGTTTGAACCGACGGTATATACACTTTTTGATTTTTTTTTTTTTTGTTTTTTTCTTTTCTTTTCTTTTTCTTTTATTTTCTTTCTTTCTTCTTTTTTTTAATTTTTTTCTTATTTTTTCCATTTTTATTTTTACTATTTGTTTCTTTTTTCTGTTTTGACATTTTGGTGTGTGAGGGGCTTTGAAGCGTCGGTGGTCGAAGAGAATGAAGTAGCAAAGTTGTGTTGTGGGGTTGGATACTACCCATCGGACGTGGTTAGTTATGTGGGTTTGAACCGTTGTCGTTGATTCCACCTTGGGGTGAATAAGTATAGCAAGGAACTGGGACGAGTTCGAATCCATCACGTGATGGTTTTGTTGACAGCGCGTCGACTGGTTTTCGTATAAGTGGCAAGCGATATTTGGAATTGGTTTTTAGACTTTTTTTGTTTCAGTTAGTCCCATAGGACCATGGATTAGTAGTATTATTAGGAGGCTTTGTTTCAGTTCCATACCGACAACAAGACCCCTGATGAGGCTGGAACGGCGGCCAGCCGAAACCGGTTGGGTCATTCGCCATCTTGATATTTGTGTCCAGTTTTTTGGCATCATTCGTAACTTACGCCGCGTTCGGGATTATTCTGGTTAAAACCTCCTTGTCTTATCTGTTTTCTCTCTCTTCTCTCTCCTTCTCTCTCTCTTTTCTATGTTGCATGGATGTCGTCGTGTGAATGAGCTGCTTTGGTACTTGATTTCATTCGAACTTGTGATGCTCTGTCGTATTTCGACAACATGCACCTATGGACAAATTTATGCACATCTATCTTTGCTGTGTTTCCAGTAGTTTTTTCGTTTTGCCAAGGCAAAAA